TTGGTTATTGTTTTAACATCTACATAACAATACAGACCATGGATGGAGTGCATTTAATGAGTTGCCATTAACCATAAGGATTCCACATAGTAAGTCTGTGTATTTACAGTACTTGTGTCACAAGGGTGTCACATGGAGAAAGCACTTGCAAAAAGGTTGAGAGCTAAACTGACAAAAGAAACATTATTACCACCACTTTAGCAAAGCAAAGCAAGCCTCTGAGATACTGGTTACTCAAAAAGTCTGTGTCAGAGCTAGGAACTGAGAGAAAAAAAACCCTTCTCCAGTTTTAGTGAATTCAGGCCATTACAATAATTACAATTTTGTCTTAAACACCTGTGACATTAACATCTAATTTACTCAAAAAGAAAGCCAGTTGCTTCTCAGAGCTGTGATTAATGTTTCTGTCCTAAATTTCAGGCTTTGCTTGGACTATCACAAACTTCTGAAGGCTGGAGTTTCATCTAATTGTGACAGTTTCTTCTCAGCTCCCTCCACTGTAGGCAGGTATTTAGTTACTGGGTGCCTACGCAAGGAGGCTGGGTGTGGATGTCATTTCATTTTTTCTTCTTTTCTTATTCTTTTTTAATAAAATTTGATGGATATCACTAAATGAAATTCACCCTGCATAATCACGCTGAAGTCCTACAAGCTGTTTGAACCAAATAATAATGTAAATAAACCAAGTTAATTCTGTAGCAGCCTTCTCAGTGGGTTGGCACTGATGCTTGAAAGTGCATTTCTCTTTTGTTTGTTTTTCCTTATTCTTTCTTTAGATAATTGTTTCTTTAAAAGATTCTCCTATACGTATATTTGTGTTTTTTTCCACAGTGCAAATGCCAGAGCTTTATTACAATTTAATCTAGCTGCTCTTTTTGAGTACATGTCTTGGCGTCACAACCCCACTCCCTGGAGATCCATTATTGTAATTGTGTAAAATGTTATTAAGTGTGGGAAAAATCTTGATCTCCTGCTATTGCGTTTCTTTGTGGAAGGGTGTCTTTTTCTCCTCCCCACTTGGAGACAGCTGATTTATGGGAGAGTCCTCGGCCAGCCCTTCTCATTAACTCGCTATTCTTTTATGCTTCAATATGAAATACAATCAGTATCTTAAAATCTCTTGTCGGCTCTCCACCCAATGGTACTCCCTGTGCTGGGGGACATTTGCTCTTCCCTCCTTTTCTTTCCTTGGGTTATTTGCTTCCAGGCTTGCTGCTGGCCAGGGAGTTGCTCCTCTGTGGCTATGGATAAGGTTCGCCTGTCTTCACTCACCCTCATACACTGATACTGTTCTCTTCTTTGTTTTGCTTCTTGCACTTCTACCTCTCCTGTTGTTTCAGCTCTCATATGATTTTCCTTCTCTCTTTTTATGGCTTTGAAAACATATTCATGACTATTGAAGAGAGTCAAAATGCCATGCTATCATTTTTCTCACACACATATTTTTCTTCCAGAGGTCATGACTTTTTGACTCTATGAGTTGAATAGCAAAGTCAAAATGGGATATGAGAGAAGTCAATATACTGGGCTGGGGTTAGGGAGTTGTGTTTCCTCTCTTGACGAGTTGTCTGGTATAATTGCAGCTGCACGTATAAGAGGCTAGGTACTGCTGAATGTCTAAAGACTATAAAGTTCTGTTCAGACAGATTAATGTAGAGAGATAAACTAGCAAGGGAAGTCTCACCAGCTGAGACAGTGAGAGCATACAGTGCTTTTCTCTTCAGAAGAACATTTAAAAACCAGGCTTCAACTGCTCATTTGAGTGGTGATATATGAACACTCACCCTTCTTAAAGAAAAAAAAATGTTTCACTGATCATAGAATAGTATATTAAACCGGTGATACTGGAGACTTCATATGATAATCTCATGTACAAGGCCAAATTGAATGTCATCACACTACAGCATTGTAAATTGTCAGAGATTAAATTAGGTCTGAACTTGGTTTCATGACTGAGGAGTATAAACTGTGATACCCTTATCAAAACCTTCCTGGATGCACAGAGATGGGTAAGCAGAAGAGCTCATCAACACATTTCAGTTCAATGAGGGCTGGGTCCCTCTCCATTCCTGGAGGAGATTGAGTAGAGGATGACTGCAACCGGCAGAAGAGCCGTTGCAGTTTTAAAGTGTGATTCCAGCTGCAAAACAGATGTCAGCTAAGCCAGGCTGTGCCACAGCATCAGGGCAGGCTGAGTGGTGCTGCTCCTGCAGAACAAGGCAGAAGAGAGGCACCTTGGGACCAGCTGACCTGGGGTCTGCCAGGTTTTTATGGCGCTATTTGTGCACATGCCATCCCAGCCATGGTGTTGCTGTATGCCAGGGGCACAGCTGATCTAGATTTGTCCTGACAGGTATTTGTGGGGTGGGTACTATTTTCTTTCACTGTCTTCACTCCTTGTTCAGCGCAGGGACACCTGTGCCAGAGGGTGTGTAAGTCTGTGTGTGAGTAAAAGCTCAGTTCAGCATCACTCTTCTGATATTCCTGATTACAAGGCTGACTGGAAGACCCCGATTGTCCTCTGAGTGGTAACACTGAGCACAAAGATGAGCTTGCTCACCCTGTGAATTTCATCCACCTGTCCCTTTCTTTTTGACATGTGTTAATACACCGAGTGTGCTTATCAATCTCAATTTTCAGACATGATCGCTGAAAGCAGGACAACCAGCTGGCTAAATGCCCCTTTATCACTCACCAGTCTGGTCTGTGCTGACTTTCTGCTCTCCCTGCCTGGTGCCCAACAGGGAGACCCATCCTTTCCAGGCTGGATCCTCATGGTTCCGGTACCCTAGACCACTGCTTGTCTTTAAAATCCAACCAAGTGCTAATTTAATCTTTTTTTCTTTTTTTCTTAATGTTGAATTTCCACAGGTTTTGCAAATTCTGTATTTGAGGTGCAGGGAATATCCCTGGGGAATAAACATCATATTTCTTTGTGCTGAACCTCCAAATTCCCCTACAGACATTTGATGTAGTATTTCTGACAGGCGATAGGATGAACTCACACAAGTTAAATGTATGTATGTGCTGCTGTAAAAAGATGCATTAAATGTGTAAAAGGTCTGTGAAGCCTGACTTTTCATTCTTGTAAAAGTTACCTAAGATATTTGAGAAGATGGAGTGATTCAAAGTGAAATTCAAACCTGAGTCTGAATTTTCAAGTTTAACCACTGACTACAAGATTCACTTCCATTTGTCCACGCTCAGCACAGAAAGCCTGTTTTTTCCCTGAACTACTAATGAAAAGTTGCAAGCGAGCATGGTTTCTGATTCATGGGAAATCTTGTGAAAGTTTTGATTTAATTTAATTTAATCTTATTCCTATTTCCCAGAAAGTGGAAATTTACTTTTTAAAAGTACCGAAGCCCGATGTTTGCTAATGAAATAAATAACAGCAGCTGGGAGACTGAGGACAGTGCCAATTTCACAAGGAGCTGCCAGGACAACAGGGAGCTGTGGCTCAGGAGCAAACCCATTGCCAGTGCTCGCAGGGAGATGGGCTGTTGGAGCGGATGCTGGCTCCAGCTGGCACAATGAAGCAGGGTGCCTGGGAGCTCTTGACACCCTGTTTTTATCTTGAAAGTCAGGATTTCCAGGTTCTGTAGGAGAAAAAATTCAGGCCCTAAGTAGATCTGGATCTCAGTAGGGTTGAGAGTTTCAGTGTGACTGCAGAAATTGTGGGGATCTTGGTCCCTCTGATTGCCCTTGGGTGTGGAATCCTGCATCCTGGACCCTACAGGGCTTCCCATGTTTAAAGAAGCTGGACAAGTCACATATCTGGCTGTGGGATCACCATCTCTGGCCTTGGGCACCCCAGGCTCTCAGGATTGCATTTCTGCTGGGACTCAGCACTGAGTGTCTTGAATCTTAGCTACACCCAATGTCTCTCTTCTGGTTCTCAAGGATTTGACTTGTTCTCTGTTGTTCCAAGGTAACTATTTTGAATCACGTGGCATGGCAGGTTGCAGTCTTTTATAAAAATCAGCATAGTTCAGTTCACAGCTTTGCACAAATACAACTCAGGAAAGATTATGGCAAATTTTAATCTCATTTTTGTCTCTTGTCTTGCTTTTATTTTACTTATAACATGTTGAGAGAGGAGAGGAGGTTTCCCCCTTAATCAGTGTATTTATTTCAGCTTCAGGAATGCTTTTTGACATCTTAACTGGTTGTGTCAATCAGTCTCTCTCCATGGGGACTTGGAAAAATCAAGAGAAAATGCCTTTTTTACAAAAACCCTGATCTTGAGCTAAAATCTCATGGCCTTTTGGCGGAATTGTCTTATCTTCTGTAATCTTACACTATTGCATGCTTTTATCCACCCAAATTCAACTTGCAGTTTTAGCTACAGACACTTTTCCCCTTTGATTGGCTTATTAACTTTTTATCAGGCTGTCTTCCATGGGGTTTTTTATCAAATTTTGCCTCCAGTTCTTTGACAAATAAGAGGGCTGATAGCCAAAAAAATCACTCTTGACATGGCCCATTTCTGTGAAATGAGTAGTTTACAGTTTGTTATGACTTCCTTCAATTTTTCTGATGGTTCAAACAAACTGCTTCAAGTCTTGCTCCTTGTTCTTGTCTCTTATACCTAATACATGTTAATTTTTGACTGTGTCTCCCTGACTCCTGCTAATGGCCCATAAAAAGATGAGCCAGATAAACCCTACAATGGTGCCAAATGTTGATAACTGAATCTGCAGCAATGGAAAAAACTTCTTGGTTTTATAGGGATACTTCCTTAAAGCATGTAAGAGATTACGCTTTTATTTCAGGGGGCTGGAACAATATATAACTTCCTGCTAAGGGCTCTTCAGCACAGATGGGGTTTTCTTTATTTACATAAATTTGTATAATTTACAGACCAAGAATCATTTGATGGAATGATAAATGATTAAAATCAGATTAGTTGAAGCAAAATTGTGGTTAAATTCATGGCTATTCTTGAGCACACAAAGGCAGAATTTGTATTTTAAATACTTGCTTCAAACTATTCCCGCAGCTCTCTTCAATGTGTGCCATGTTTTCTATCTGTCCTTGGTATCCAACACTTCCAGACAGATCTGTTCCAGTGCAGAGAACAAGGTTGGTTATAGCCCTTTTTAATTAAGCAGGCAGTGTGAGCATGTGTTGGTAAATTTTGGCTTTAAAGGTACTGTGGCACAGTTTGACTTTTCGAGGTGGAATGCAGTCCTGCTTTGCTTCTGTCCCACTCAGGGCAGGTTAATGCTCTGGAGGCTTCTCTGCTTAGATCTCCCTTCGTTACCAAAGCCCTGCCTCTGGTGTGAAGTGATGGATGCCTGGAAATGAACTGTGTGGTGATTTATTCCGGGAGAGGGGATAAAAATAATTCAACATGTTTCTCTTTGTCATGAAACATTGAACATTTACGTGAATTATGAGCAGCAAATATGTCTTGTTCTTAAGAGAATCAGGTAGGAAAAGAGTTTATAGCTGGTGAGATAAGCCTTCCGCAGAAGTTGTCGTTGACCTGTGCATCCAGAAATAACCCAGAGTTTTCAAAGGCGAGGGGGCTGTCCAGTGGTTTAGGAAAAAAAAACCAAAACCTGGCAATGTTTCAGCACAACTAGGCTGAGAGGCAAAGAGAAAGGAACAGGAAGGGCCATTATAAAATAGTGCCATTGGAATTAAAAAGATAACTGGTGAGATGGGGAACTTCCCCAAATAGGATCTGGCTGCGTGCCTGCTCCAGTTAAGCACTGTAGTTGTTCCAGTCTTATTCTCTAATTGGCCTGGATTCTGTACATTAAAAAAGCTGACAGATGCTACAGGACTAAGAATATTAGTAACTAATGCAGTTAATGATTTTGAATAGGCTTATTACATGAGTGATGAATTCTCCTTTATTTCACAGGAATGTAAAGGAACCTTGCCATAGGCATTAATTGCATTTAATTCCATGTTAGGGCCCATTCATCCTAACAGCATCTTGGATAACAGCCTGAGAGTAAATGTGATTCTCTCTGGAAGTGTTTCCTCTGCTGAAGTATTTCAGATACACAAAACTGAAAACACTTTGGTGACATTGCTTTAAGGATTATTTTTAATGTAATATTAAAATAATCTGCTTTCACGAGTGTAGAAATTGGCCAGCAAAAGTGTGTAACAGTACAGATGGGTGCAATATTTTTATTTTGTGCTTCAGATGATACCATATGCCAAGCCTTAGGAGGTGCTCTGTTGCCAACAAGCTACAACTAGAGATTTACAAAAGGTGAAACTGAAGGTTGTCTCCTTGCCATGTTTTCACACAGCATGCCCTGGTGAAATTTCAGCCTGTCCTGAGAGAAATAGCAACTTCTTGGTTCAGAAATTCTAGTTTCACTTTTTGCCAGAACATTTTCTCTTGAATTACCTTCTCCACCATCCTTCAAGATAACTGTGAACACTGTGCTCAGTTCTAGGTGAGGGAGGAAGTGGGTAATGTTTTTGAAGATGGGTAATGTTGCTCATTTCTGGTGTTTGAGAACAGAGCAGGAGGCTGAGGATTCAGAAGGAATTTAAGGACCTTCATTGTCTTTTTAGAGTACACCTCCTATCAATTAGTAGTCATGCAATTAGCTACCGTAAGATATTGGGTGAGATGGTTTAGTGTGAGGTGTCCCTGCCCATGGCAGGCGGGTTGGAACTAGATGATCTTAAGGTCCTTTCCAACCCTAACTATTCTATATTCACCTCTGCCCATAGGCAGAGTATATTGTGCTATATCCCAAAGCAGTCTCCAAGCTGTTAGCGTGGAAATGCTGTTCGGAAAACAGAGGGGGTGAGATGATCTCTTCTGTGGCCAGAACGCTTACTCAGCTTTCACATAAGAGAAGCCACAGATAGCTGAGCTATTTCCACAGCACTTACCTCCATCTTACCAGCATTCACCTACATTGTCGTTTTGTGGGATTTGTTTGTAGCTGTTTCCTGTGGTGGCGATGATGATGGCAGGGCTTCGGAAGGCAGTTAGCCTACAGTTTAGTGCACCTTGACCAGCCTTATGTGTCCTTTAAAAACAAAACCAAACTTGTGAACTCCTTCAGCCTCCCCACTCCCTCTGCATTTTTTTTGCAATGAATCCACGTGCCTCAGACTGTGTCCTCCACTGGTGTAAACCAGTGTGGCTCCACTGGTATCAGTAATACTGCCCTAATTTACATGCAACATGGGCCTGCCTGGCTTTGACAGCACTAGTGGAGTGTTACAGACATGGTGCACCAAACAGCATGATGTAAAAGGCTGTTACATCACTGAGCACTTTTCTCAATTGATCCCAGACCTAGGGTATGTGGATCTTGATATCTGCTCCTGCTTGTTTCGGGATGTCACTTAAACACTGTGTTCCTTCAACACCAGGAGAGGTTGATGATTCCTGTCATAGTTGAGTTTCCAACATAGCGATGTACTGCTCTGTGAATAAGGTTGGAAGGGAGTGAGACTTCCATTTTGGGGAGAATTGTGAGGGTTTCCTACCTGTTTCCATTTGCTTTTTTTGGGAAAATACAAATATGACTCACCTTCAGAAAATAAACCCCTACAAAACTGAGCTGCAAGACCTGCAGTCATGGCTCCCTAAGTCAATGATGATCCCCCAGCAACTGCTGCTAGTGCAGGGCAGGGGACAGAGCCTTGGGTGGCCTGAGAAGATTTCCTAGCAGTGATGTGTTTTTTGTGTAGAGGTTTGTTTGTTTGTTTTCTTTCCCCCCCCGCAAGTTAATTAATTTAATTTAGTTTGCTTTTTTATAGGCTTTATCAAAAATATTACCCTAACCAAAGAAACAATCACATTTTGGTTTCCAACTTCCCAGGTCAGGGAAAATGCTAGACTATCAAAACGCATGGCAAAGTTCAAACAGTTTATTAAACATGAAGCAATGTCATCTTAGACTCTGTTTTAAAACATTATACTTCCAGCTTTTCCTTCATCTTACTTTCAAATAGATTCGAACTATATTAAATCATTAATTAATAGTTTTTGCAGCAAATTTGTTTTCTCCCCCCCCTCTTCAATATTCACTCTGTTCACTGAATTTTTTGCATAATGCCTCTGCAATTTATTGACAGGTTTTCTTTGGATAGGCCTAGAATGGAAATAAAGAAGTTAGAATTGTAAGTGGAACAACTTTATCCTAAATTATTCCAGAAAGTGTTGAGAAACACAAGAGAAGTAGTGCTGTTTGCTAAAATACAACTTAGGGAAACTTGAGCAAATGTCAGCCCGACTAGATGATTAAGAAGGACCCAACCTTTCATAAAGTCCTTGGCAATATCGCAATTATTAATTAGGAAGGATATGCCATTCACAGAGATATCATTCTGCAACTGGAGATAAAATATTTCCATGGTTTGTGATTTGAAAGCAACATTCAGGAAACTGCATTAGGTGGTTGGACTGCTGCCATGGAGATGCAGCAATGCAGCGTTTTAGGGCTGTCTGGTGCCAGAGACCAGGAGGACGCTGATGCTGACCGCTCTCATATGCAGTCTGGGAGGGGAAGGGGGTTGATAAATGTCAGCTGCCGCGCTGAGCCCCACTGCCCACCAGGAGGGCAAGCTGCGTGCTGATCTACTCCAGGTAAGTCGTGCCAGCTAAAGCTGTAACTTTCCAGTCTCCCTGAAGCTCGGTGCTGCACCAGGAAGTTGCAGTAGGCAGAGGAAACGAATATCCTCCATGAATTATTTTGTGTTAGTTCAGTGCTAACCTCAGAACAAACCAGTCTGTAGCTGTGTGGCTTTGCTGGCCAATTTGTTTCCAGAAAAGATGAAAGAATAATTGTGGTCACACACAGAATCATTTGATGATACACTTAATGCTCTGGCTGCTCGTTGTGGGTGTTTTTCTTGTTCACCATAATTTAACAATTATTCATTTCACCCATTTAAACACAGACCAGACAATGGGCTTTCTGGAGATATGAGCAACTGCTGCATCTTCTCAGGCCCTACCATGGTGGTGAGTGGGGACCTACCCCAGAGGCTTCTGGCAGCAACTGAATAGATTTGAGGTGAAATGAACATTCTCCTGGCTGATGTCACTGCTTAGCCTCTGAGATTTCTGGTACGTGTGATTGCCTCCTCTCCTGTTACCTATTTATAACCTTCATTACTCCTGAGCTTAAAAATGCAAACCCAGACAGAGAGACAGAGGCTGGGACCCTGCAGCTCACCCCCTGGAGCAGGGTTGAAATGCTATAGGGAGCTCAGGGAGAACAAATGGCTTGCTGGGGGGTAGGAGACTCACCAGGACCCACAGGCAGGCTGATGTCCATGCTGGAAAACACCCTTTTCCCCTGAACCTGTGCAACCACACAGCTGAAGCACATCTTTCTGCTGCTGGCTGGATATATAGTCATCCTCATCTGGTGACCTATCTGCTCCCAGCAAAGCCAGCGGCTCCTCTCTGTAGCAATGGGAGCAGAGGCAGGCATGAGCATCTTCTGTCTTCATTGCAGTCATCAGTGCTTTGTCAATGTGTTATTTGTTCCTTGAACTTACAGTATCTCTTATGTTAAAGTCAGCCAAAATGCTTCCCAGTGTCTTTCAGAAAATAAAAGGGGAAAGGAAAAAAAAAAACCAAACAAACTCAAAACTGAAAAAAAACCCAACCCAAGCACAGCAGTGTAAGAGGAAATGCTACTACTGCCTGAAGGCAGTACCCAAACGAGATCCACAGCAAGATTTGATGCTGCAGGTTACATCTACAGTAACAAAAAAAATGGACCGGTGCTTGTTTCCTAGTGCCAAGGGCAAGACTTCTGCTTGCCAGCTTAACTTTCTTCCCTGCACCCTTGCAAAACAGGGTTGCCTTGTTTCTGCTGTGTCCTGGGAGAGTCCCTGGCCAGTGCATCAGGAGGAGACGGCTCAGGCCACAACTAGCCAAGGCACAGGCAACCAACAGTGAACATGAGGAGAGAGCCCCACAGACAGTGCTGGGGGCCAGGTCTCCTCAGGCAGGAGAAGCCTCTTCTTCCCAAGTCACTTGTCACTGCTAATGAGTGAAAAAGGTGCCCAAACAGAATGCCCTTACCGGTGGTCCCTGTGTCACCTGCATTTGGCTATATAATCCTGGAAAATGAGGA